GGGTAATTGTCGTGGGATGGAATTGAAAACAAAATTCTCTCTTACTACGAAGTAACCCTGAATAACCATTGACCTTGATCTCGAGAGATGCCGTCTCTTAAAATACTTTTTCTTGTCCCTTTTCTCGTCCATTCTTGCGTTTAATCTTGCTGTATATGTGTAGAAAGGCCGAGAAACACATTAAAAAATACAGACACATGGAGACAGATACCGATGAATATTTAGCAGATCAGATTGAGACCGACAAATGTTTGGCAGAAGAGAGAGAGAGAGAGAGAGAGAGAGAGAGAGAGAGAGAGAGAGAGAGAGAGAGAGAGAGAGAGAGAGAGAGGTGCATATCAAATTTAAAGGGAAACTTAACTCATGAAAACCCCGATCAAGGTGGAACCCTTCAGAATCGGATTTTCAAGTGGTGATATAATGAAGATAGTATAATTTCTATACCACTGTGCCTTGGTGAGAAATCGAAATTGTATTGCTGTTCGCTAGATCCGTTTCGTCCATAGCTTAGAATCAGACTGCTTTCGTCTTGTTATAGTGCTTGCGTTGTTGGTTAGAAAAACCGACGTCTGGTCTGGCTGGGGCACTGTTAATACTGTGAGTCATTCAGCCGAGGCTTGGGCTTGCGTTGTATAGTTGAAAAGTACAGCAGTTTAAGTTCGGGAACTTGCAGTAGATAGATCTTGTTGATAGATTTCGGTTGAGTCAACGGGGCTTTTCAGGAGTAAATCTTGTAAATCCATAAGCTGACTACGAAAAACAAAAAGTACGTTTACCGAAAGGCGTAAAAGTATTAGATACTAAGACCAACAGATGCGATTCATTCGTGTGGAAGAACGTGGTGGAGATGAGGAGGGCCGTCGAGTAGAGCCCAAGACGTCAGCCGTTCAGATTTTTCGTTCTGATTTTGAATAAATAAATAACATTTGTCACAGCTATCATCAACGAGGGGAGAATATGGGCAGTCCTTTTCCAGCAAGCTGACCAACCAGAGCTACTTGATACGAAAGGCACAGTAAGTAGTAAGTAACTCTGATGACTTAAAAAAATATTGTAAGTGTTTTTACGCCTACATTAGGCCTAATATCAATCGGATTATTAAGGAGCTGGGCTTCGGCTCTCCTTTTCAGGACCAACTCGAGCTGAGAGGTATACAATATCCCAGAAGACAAAGAGAGAGAGGCTGTAGATAAAATTTGTCCCAACTGGGAATCAAACTTGAGTTGTTGTTTTTTGCTGCTGTTTTTTGTTGTTGTTGTTGTTTTGTTGGTGTGTTGTTGTTGTTGTTGTTGTTGTTGTTTTTTGGGGGGGGGGGGGTTTGGCGTGTGACAGCGAAGTGTCTAACCACTGCACCACAGACGCCGGTCTGAGGACTTAGCAATTTTAGTTAGACTTAGCTTCTACATGTAAATTGCATTTTCTAACAAGACTTGATATCACTCTTCATAGTACTGAGGGTGAATTTGTTTAAGACTTATAGGCCTAACGCTTGATTGTGAAGCAGACGCTAAGCTGAAAGTGTAACGGTAATATTGATACAATACAGGTTTAAAAATAAAATTCCAAATTGACTGAAATAGACGTACATAACACCTCCAATCTTCGACACTTATATGGCCTTGTTGTGTTGCAAGTGCCGAAAAACTCTTACTAGATCTAAAACTTTTTAAAAAACTAAATATACTGCATGTTTTCGCTACAGTGTGCATGTCACCCCGTCTTTTTGTTCTTGAGGTCAACAGTCCCAGATAAGCGAGACAAGTGGATAAAATTGCCCTTCGTTTATTCGACTAAAGGCTTGTGTTAAAGTAGATCTAACGCTTTGCCTTTTATCTCAATTTAGGACACTTTTAAAAAATCGGGAATGGGCTGTTATATATATAAATAGATCTAGTTTGCAACTCGACAGAGGCGTAACTCAATCATTTCCCGCTGGAGCGCCACTCTCATACGCCAAACCGTCTCCGTGTTAACGTCTTTTCTTCTTGCTTCTTTAGGGGGGGGGGGGAGTATTTTTAGGCTCTAGCAACTGCATATTTATGTATTTGAGCGTGCGGGACGCATGAAGCATTTATTTCAGTTTGGCAGGAATTTTGAACTTTGCCCACGTGGCGGCCGAAGCCTACTCTGATCAATTTTAGGACCACCTATTTAAAATGCGCAACTTGCAGTGGAGACCTCCGAAGGTTTTCACCCTTATCCGAGAAGGCTAGGTGTAGATCTTACCTACCCTAAGATCAGGAGTGTGGCTCAAAGACAGCAGTAAGAAGGAACCAAAGAGTAGCAGTAGAAGGCTGCAAAAAGAGTCAGGAGCCCAGAGGAGGGACTAAAGGAGGAAGGGAGGGGTAGAAAGTGGAAACGAAAGCAGACGAGAGAACATAGTTAGAGAGCAGAAAAGGAGGTGAAAGGAGGAACTTTTGGACAAGAAAATTTTCCGTGGCTGTCAGATTTCGAACCCGAGACCTATTGAATGAGAGGCGAACATCGTACCTCTGGACCACGAGAGCCCCCTCTCTGTGCTTACTTAGCGTAACAGTGAAAAAGTGCACCCCGAAAAAAATCAACAAAAACCTTTTGTATGAAGACTGTTTTTCAAATTAACAAAACGTGTTTATTAAAAATAACAACAACAACAAATGAACAACAAAACAGACAAATA